CGGCCAGGGGGGGGAGGGGTGCACACCTGTAACCCTAGCCACCAGGTGTGGGTTGCACACCTGTAACCGTAGCAACCAGGAATGGGTTGCACACCTGTAACCGTAGCTTATGACTGTCTGAAGCAGGAGGATCTTGTATTCCAGGCCAGAATGGCCCATATATGAAGATCCTGTGTCAGAAACTGAAGTAAACACAGCTCACTGTTAGCTAACAACTCTGAAATCCACTTGGACACATGGTGCCCATTTCCAGAGAGGGATTTACTGTGAAGCTAATGGAGTTTAAGCTTCAGGAGCTCTTCCTGGTAGGGAACCATTCAAGCAGCTGTAAACACTTTGTATATATAATTTATTTTATAAGGCATTATTAAAGTAGATATGTAATTTTGTGTTCATAATTATATGTAAATTTTTCCTTTACTAGATCACTTAAATTGAACTTAAGGCTCTTTATAACATCTTGTATCTAACTGCTTGATTTTTCTTTCCTGGGAAGGACTTTATAATCAGTTGTTTTCAAGGTACTCAACTTACTATTTGAAAGATCTTCCTATTTTGTCTTTTTTCCTCAATATGCATGAAGTAACAAGAAAGAAAAGTGTTATTCATAGTAACTGAAAAATGATTCCAGCCATTTCACGGAAAGTTAGGGTTTAATAATCACGATTTTTGTAAAGTTAAAAAAAAAACCTTTATATTATGCAAAACTTCAAACATATACTAAAATGAGGGAATAGTAAATCAATCCTCATACATCTAGGGTTGAGCACCTCTATAGGTTAGACCAGAATCAGAATATATAAATAATAAAAGTTTATTGTCATTTAAAGACTTTCTGTTATACTCTACTATTGATAGTGTTATGAATGTGGAAAATTCAGTGTGCACTCAATCAGTTTAGAAGAGAAGTATTTTCATCTACCAGAAGAAACATTTTAGAAATTTAAAAATTATATATGGTGATTAACACAGGGTGATGTTTTCTATGCTGGTATAAATAATTTAATTAGCCATATTTTACCATCTTATTCTATAATTCTCTTTCATAGTTTTATGCTAGTAGGAGAGCCTTTTGCTGCTAAGACAAAAGTTCTGCATGTGCTGGCTGATACTTTAACTCTTATGAATGAACGCAACTATGGAGAGGAAGAAAAGGTCATGTTTAGGACTGTAAACCCGAAGTCAATTACTATGGGCCAGCTGTTTGGGCAGTTTGACCCCGTGTCTCATGAGGTAATCTGCAAGATAACACTCTTGCCTGTAGTCAGTGTATATTAAAGCAAGAAACTATAAGTATTTCTGTTTTTAATGATAAATCCAGTTTAATTTATGAATGAGGCCTTTTAGCATTTTCTTCTCTCCTCAGTGGACTGATGGCATCGTGGCGAACACGTTTAGAGAATTTGCCTTAGCAGAATCACCTGACCGGAAATGGGTTGTATTTGATGGTCCTATTGACACTTTGTGGATAGAAAGTATGAATACAGTCTTGGATGATAATAAAAAGGTAAATCACTATTGTTTAGACCAGAACTTATTCAGACATAATTAAGTAATCCTAGGACTATATTTTCAAGCTAAAGTGTGTAAAAATTGAATACATTTATAAATTGCCTTTTCAGTAAAGACTATGCTATAGGAAGTCATTTGTTTTTAATAGAATGAAAATGAATTATATTAAAGCTACTGCGTTGACATAACTATTGTCTTAGTCACTGTTCTGTTGCTGTGACACCATGACCAGTGCAGCTCTTACAATAGAAAGCATTTAACTAACAGCTTGCTTATAGTTTCAGAGGGCTAGTTCATTATCATCATGGCAGGGAGCATGGAGGCCTGCAGGCAGCCACCGGAGCAGTAACTGAGAGCTACCTTGTGCATAGGCAGAGAGAGATACTAGGGGCTTGGCATGGGCTTTTGAAACCTCAAAGCCCACACCCAGGTGATGGACTTCTCTCAATAAGGCCGTACACACCTCCTAATCCTTTTTATCCTTTCAAATAGTGCCACTCCCTGGTGACTCAGCATTCAAATGTGTGAGCCTGTGGAGGTCTTTCTTATCCAGGCCACCACAGTAATCTATCAGCAAATCAAGTTGGGCTGGAGAGATTGATTAGTCCTTAAGAACACTGGCTACTCCTCAAGGAACCAAGGACCCAGGGTCCATGTTCTGTTCCCAGCAGTCACCTGTAACTCAGTCCTTGGCACTACACACACGTGGTGTGTAGATATATATGTAAACAAAACATTGATACCATAAAAAAGAGAAGGATATTTCAATGATATGATTTCATATAGAACTTTAATATTTTACAGGAAAAGAAGTCTTATTTCTTTTTTTTAATTGAGTTTTTATATGTAAAATGTTACCCTAGGACATGAGCAGTGTATAAAAGAACTAGACAATGGAAGTCTTATAATATTTATTTTAATTAAGAGTAAATGGGCATAAAAGTCTAAAAAGAGATGCTATGATTTTAATGTATTTGTACACTTTCTTAACTGTTACCAAAATAAAGGTACATAAAATTCTCTATACCCAAAGGTTCATTCATGCACATTCCATAATCTAGTAAAAGTAGATATACTAGAAGTCAGTATATCTTCTAGAGATCATCATTTAACCAATAATAATTAGTTTTAGCAGGTTTTGTCTTCCTGTTAATGGATTTATATCTTTAATGCTTTTCTGTTTTGATCCATGTAATGAGGTATTTGTGTTGTTGTATTCTACTTTATTCCTTATTCTTTTTCATGCCTGTATTAGTATTCTCTTATCTAACTGTATTTTAGTTTATTTCTATACTTGTTTTGTGGCTCTGGGGACTGAATCCTGGGGCCTTGCACATGTTAAACAAGTACTCTACCATTAGGTTATTCCCTCCGCCCATTTTATTTCCATACACATATGAAATTACTGTTCTACTAAGTAATAAATTCATTTAATTAGTACTCAAAATTATATTTAAGTACCTTATCATTGTTGGTCATTACCTTTTTCCTTATTTTCACTTAGTAATATTGATTGCACTCAGAGTAAAAAGTAAACTGACAAGCACTGATAAGTCAGAAAGCAGGAATTAATCAGTAGGATGAAGTATAGAATTTAAACTCAAATATAAGGATGCTCTCACCATTAGATGAAAGGTGGAGTGTAGCTGGAAAGTTTGGATAGACAGAGGTGATGATGAAAGATGAAGACAAACCTTATGACAGCTTGTCTTCATGAGGTGGTACGCCTCAGTACTTGACAGATGTAAGGAGAATTTTAATAAGCCATAGTGCAAACTGGGAAGCAGATCTGCTTAGCAGTGGTTCTCAACCTGTGGGTCACGACTCTTTGGAGTCACATATCAGATATTTACATTATGATTCAAAACAATAGCAAAATTGCAGTTATGAAGTAGCAATGAAATGGTTTTATGGTTGGGGGTCACCACAACATGAGGAACTGTATTAAAGGGTGACAGCATTAGGAAGGTAGAGAACCACTGGCTCTGGGAAACATAGAAGTATATGTGGGAAGTACTGAAGACCTGGTTAAATTAAAATGCATGAATCACCACTCATTCTACCAAAGGCTGGCTTTGTGAAATATTCTCTACAGATAAGCAGCCTTATCTGTACCAATGGCATGAGAATAGTAAAAGCAATGGATATAAAGCAGAACTTACCTCACAAAGGAGATAATGAGAAATTCCTTACAAAAATGAAGAGAAAGTGTATTAGGGAAGGAGAACTGGTAGGAGTAGAGGAGTGGAAACTGTAATCAGGATATATTATGTGAGAAGAAAATCTACGCTTAGTAAAGGGGGAAGTGTATTAGGTGTCAGTGGCGGAGGAAAGGGAGAACTGAATGGTAAGGAGCTGTGGAGAGAGACGAAGATGCTTGAATTTAATAGTTCAAAATTGCTTAGTTTTTTTTTTAGAGCTAAATTTCTAGCTATATGAAATGAATGACTGGGACAAGTAAATAAATAAAGACAGGGTGGTCAGGAACATAAGACGCTCTTGTTTTAAATGCTCATTCTTATGAAGCCTGGCCCAGGCTGCAGTTAGAATGAGATTGGGTCAAGAACTGAGGGTTTTGCTAAGGGGAGAATCCTTGGGTCCTGGTAGGTGACAGCAAGGCAAGGGTTGCCTGACGGCTGATTTGTACGTGATGGTGAAGTGTGCGTAGTTAGTAGACAACACAGTAGGGTGAGTGATGATGTTATCTCAACATGGTAGCAAGTGGAAGAGTACTTATTGATATAACCTGATACACATTTAAAAGTATTCTAGATGCGTTCTCTCAGGTAGAACGTTCTACAGTTCTGGAAATATCTGCATCAATCAGACACCTGTAATTTGTTAGTATTTCATTTGCAGAATGCCTTAGTATAGTCGGAGAACTCAGTGTGCAGTGCGGAGACAGCTCAGAAGTGGAGCGCCGGCCTAGCATACGCACGGCCCTCACTCCATCTCTGGCACCAGGAAAATAAAAGCGTTAAAGAACTGAACTTTAAACTTTATTTAATTTGACATTGAGAAATACAAATAGCTCTTAATGGCTAGTAGCTACCATATTACACAGTGCAACTCTTTGCCACTCTATTTTATATGTAAGGAGTTGAATCCAGAAATGTTATATGCTTCAGTGTTGACTTATGACTAGACAAGGAAAACCTGAGTCTAGAGTGGTGATTGTAGGAGCGAAGAGGACAAAGAAAAGTATATGTGGGAAAGACTTTGTAGCGAAAATAATTTGATATATTAATAGTTAATAGCAATAGTTACTAATACTATTAAAATTTAGTAATCTCAAAGCTAAGAAGCTTGAGATAAAGTAGGTTTAATAATAATGGAAAAGATAAGTATTTGAGAAAAAGGCTGAATTCAATTGATGAGTTTTTTGAACATATTTAATAAAAGAGGAAGTGTTTTAGATTAAAGAATTTAAGGCTCTTCCTGTAAGTGTCCAGAGGTGACCCGTGAAGATGGTTCGCTACTCTCTTGACCCAGAAAACCCTACAAAATCATGCAAATCAAGAGGATCAAACCTTCGGGTTCTCTTTAAGAACACCCGTGAAACAGCCCAGGCCATCAAGGGTATGCATATCCGAAAAGCCACCAAGTATCTGAAAGATGTCACTTTGAAGAAGCAGTGTGTGCCATTCTGATGGTACAATGGTGGAGTCGGTAGGTGCGCCCAGGCCAAACAGTGGGGCTGGACACAGGGTCAGTGGCCAAAAAAGAGTGCAGAATTTTTGCTGCACATGCTTAAAAATGCAGAGAGCAATGCTGAACTGAAGGGTTTAGATGTGGACTCTCTGGTCATTGAGCACATCCAGGTGAACAAAGCACCTAAGTTGTGCTGACTAACTTACAGAGCTCATGGCCTGATTAACCCTTACATGTGCTCCCCCTGCCACATCGAGATGATCCTCACTGAAAAGGAACAGATTGTTCCAAAGCCAGAAGAGGAGGTTGCCCAGAAGAAAAAGATATCCAGAAGAAACTGAAGAAACAAAAACTTATGGCACGGGAATAAATTCTACATGAAATAAATGCAGATAAAAGTAAAAAAAAAAAAAAAGAATTTAAGGAGACTTCATAAATATAGGCCTAGACTAGTTTTTTTCTGATTTCCAGCCATACTAATGTCTTTATCATAGCACATGTTTTATCTATAAACATATTCATTCTATCTTATAGTGATATTTTATTTGTGTTTTAATAAATAAAGCTTGACTGAAGATCAGAGTGCAAAACTAGTCACACTAGTCAGTCATACAGACCAGGTCGTAGTGGCACACACCTTTAATCCCAGCACTAGAGAGGAATGTAAGACGGGAGGAAACAGGAGCTCGGGCTCATAGTCTGCAGTTTGAGGTTTGGTGCAGATCACTGCAGTCTGCAGTCATGCTGAGGATAGAGGCAAGAGCTCTCTAGTGGCTTGGCTGCTTTTCTTTTCTTATCTTCAGCTTGAGCCCCAATATCTGTCTCTGGTTTTTTATTATTCTAAATTTTAAAATATTTGAAAAATATTTGCCTTTAGCTTTGCCTTATGAGTGGAGAAATCATTCAAATGTCTCCTCAAATGAGCCTCATCTTTGAAACAATGGACCTTTCACAGGCTTCCGTAAGTTCTTAATATAATAGTGATGTGTTTATTTGTTTATTTGTTAATTAAATCAAAATATTTTGTGGCCTAAAATGGGTTTAACACAGGGGATAGAGAGATGAATAAGACTTAATGTATGTTTAAAAGGGATGAGAAGCATTCTAATAACTACTCCCAGTGCACAGTTACACATAAGTGCTCTAAGAGTGTGGAGGAGGTTGGTATCCATTGGGGTGATGGGGAGAGAAAGACCTTAGAAGTATTTGACCTAGTTTTGCAGAAGAGTCAAGACGTCTTCAAGAAGATTGACTAGGTTTGGGTATTTCAAATTGTGACTGGATGATGCATAAACACGAAGAGGTGTAGAATGTCTGAGGACCTGATTGAAAATAGTTCTCTGTACAGGAGACATGTGGTGTGTGTTAGACTGTAGAAACAGGCAGACCTAGGCTGTGAATGGACATGTGGTGTGTGTTAGACTGTAGAAACAGGCAGACCTAGGCTGTGAATGGACATGTGGTGTGTGTTAGACTGTAGAAACAGGCAGACCTAGGCTGTGAATGGCCGTTGCAGTGCTAACTGAGAGTTGACAGGTAAAAGGAACTCTGCTTCTTCTCCAGCCTGCCACTGTGAGTCGTTGTGGCATGATTTATTTGGAACCATCACAGTTAGGATGGGAACCGCTTGTGGCTTCATGGTTGAATTCATTGAAAGAGCCTCTAAATGAACCAGAACATCAAACCCTGCTGAAAGAACTTTTCAAATGGCTAGTGCCACCTTCTTTAGCATTCCGCAGGAAGAAATGCAAGGTAACAGCACTATAATTCTCTGACTTACTCCAGTTTCAGAAGATTCTGTTCAACTTAACTAAATCTACAGTCACTATGCTAGAACAACTAACTAAAGCTAGTTTTTTTTTCTTTACATTTATTTATTTATTTATTTATTTATTTATTTATTTATTTATCTATCTATCATTTTTGGCCTTGAACTCACTATGTAACTGAGGATGACCTTAAACTTCTAATCCTCCTGCCTCCACCTCCCAAGTTCTGGGATTGCAAGCATGTTCATTCTTTGCCCAACCTTCCTTGGTTTTATACTTCTTCAATTACAAATAACTTAAAAGGTTTACTTTAACTTCACTATTTATATCGTCATAGTTTCTAGACCTTTAAAAAACCCAATTACTTTCTATATTTTAAAACTATTTTAGGTGCTAGAGCGGTTGCTCAGTGGTTAAGAATGCTCACTGCTCTTGTAAAGGAGCTGCATTCAGTCCCCAGCTCCATGCTGAGTGGTCACAACTGTCTGTAACTCCAACTCCAGGGTCTCTGCCCACCTGCACTAGATGTGCACATATGTGCACACGCACACACACTTTAATAAAAATAGATATTAAAATATTTTAAATATCTATCTTTTAAAACTCACATGAGTTTCTATTTATCATGGGATTTAGAATAAGAATACATTATGTACAATTTTGTCATATAATAAGCCAAACTAAAAATCTTGGAGAGATGTTTTTATTGTGCCTACACTTTGTTTTCTATAAGTTTAAATGTTATAAAGAATATATCGATACTATTTTTATAAAATGATTTACGTTTCTTCTCCAAATGAGATGGGAAGTGTAAAAAGCATTTCCTCGTTTTTTGCTTTGCAGGAACTGATTCCCACAAGTAACATCAACGCAGTAGTCTCCCTCACACGCCTCTTTGAGGTCCTTCTCTGTAGCGTGTTGGAGAATGAGCCCACTACCAAGCACACGCGTGTTTGGACCATGGTTTGTTTCATGTTTAAGGTGGTTTTAAATTAAAATGTGGTTACAAAAGATATTTGTATTCAGAAAGACCTTTTGTATGAACCAGAGCAACTTTTCTGATGATCACTGAAGAATAGCTGGGGCACGAAATTAGTCTGACCTGGCATCTGATTCTAAAAACAACTCTAAAGAAAATAAAATACGTCAGGATGAGCTCAAGTTGCGCATTCCCAATGAAAGACCTCATATTGATAGTCCTTGATGGGGTGGTGTGGTATTAAGCCCAGGTGCTTCGGATTCACTGGTGTTTTGTCTCAGTGCTAAGCGGGCATCTAGGCAGCATAGAAACTATGACAGACTGGGAGAAGGGATGCAGCCAGATGGGAGGATGCAGGCACAGTCCGTGGAGGACTTAGGGAGACATTAGTAGTAGCCCTTGTTAGCTAGTGTCTAGAGTTCGAAGATCAGACACCATGGCAATTGTGAGCAAAGGGAAACAAAAGAAGAAAGATTTTAAAAATCTTTGTTCCCTGTGTATGCCTTTCTCCAATCTGCCACCTTGTTTTTCCTGCACTTTGCCCTCCCTTTCTCTTCCATGGCGTGACAGTAGCAGCATCTCCCTCTCACTGTTTCTCCTCTACCTTGGTGCTACAAAAAAATAAATAAATAAAATAAAAAATCTACCTCGCAGGCCAGGAGATAGCTCAGTAAGTAAAGGCACTTGCTGCCAAGCCTGATGAGTTTAATCTCTGGGACTAACATCAGTGGAAAGGAGAGAGTCAACCCTCAATAGCTGTTCTCCAACCGCCACATGTGTGCTTGTGTGTGTGTGTGCGCGTGCGCACATGTACACACACACACACATATAAATAAATAAACAAAATGCAACACAATCTTTTCACCTTGGAAAGTCTCTCAGACGTCTCACATTGGAGGCTTTCCTGATGACCGGGAACCCTCCTCACTCCTTCCTTTGCACCTTCCTGCTCTGCACAAACGTGTTACGTGAAGTTTGTTTATCCATTTCTCCTTACATTTCGGGTTTTCTTTTTAAGATGATCTCTTCACATTCTTCCACAGTTATTATCATTAGCTTCATAAAATGATCCCAGGAATTGTCCATCTGTATATAATTTTGTATATTTTCAGAAAATTTTTGTTCTCTCGATAAACCCAAGCTTGCAACTTTGTCAGATGGTTCAGATCACTTCATAAGACTTACGTAGATTCATTCCTGATTAAAAATTTGGGGGCGATTTTTTTTTTCTTTTCTTTTTCTTTTTTTTTTATTGAGAATAAGAAAAAAAAGTTTCCGCCTCCTCCCAGCCTCCCATTTCCCTCCCCCTCCCCCCTCTCTTCTCCCCCTCCCCCCACTCC